ATGAAGTAAAATGATGTTTGTCCAAAATACCTTCAAGCATTCTAACCTTGTCCATCCTTCCTTTCATAGTGTCAGAGCCTCCCAGCACATTGCATCGTCCTCAGCCTCTGCCTCCTTCTGCAGGACACCAGGCATCTGCTGGGGGTGGGCAGGGAGAAGGGGGCTCAGCGTACTGCCTCTCCTCTGGACGCCACACCTTCTCAGGCTACTCTGACAGCTTTGTGAATCCTGGAGGACCAGCCAATACCATGAACCCTGCCATAGGAAATGGGCTTTCTCCACAGGTGAGACACGAGGAAGAAATGTTTGGGAAGTGGATGCACAGGCTGCTTAATAGCAAAACTGAAAAAGGCAAATGGAAAGTTTAAACTTGACAGAAAGAATAATGGTACAATTTAAATGGACTATACATATACGTAAAGCACCTTATCACCAATCTTATCAAGACACTCAAAGCTCTTTACACTACAATCTGTGTCCTCATTTACCCATTCATACAGCACTCTACTAGATCTCTACAAAGAACAATCAGAGCCTTATCACATTCATACACTGATGGGACACTCATCGGGGGCAATGAGGGGTTCAGTGTCTTGCCCAAGGACTTTTCAGCATGTGACTGCTGGTGGAATCGAACCCCCAACTCTTGCATTGGAGAACAACTTCTATAACCACTCAGCCACTGCCTCCCATAATAATAATCACACAATTCATGGCGTGCGTGAGAGAAACTTTGGCCCAAGCCTTGTGTCGAGAAGGGATGGATTAAGCTGCTCTGAGAACAAAATGACGCCATTTTTGTCACATAACTGCGGCAACAAGAGCTGATTTTGGCACAAACTGGATGTAGTATTCAGGACCCTTAAGATTTTAACTCTTAAAATGACTGATGGGGGATCACTTCCTGACAAAAGTAGAAAAGTAGGATGACTTTTAGGATAGAGGTCAAATGACTGTGTGACTAATGAGAAGTGATAGACAATTAAAGTCAATCATCAAGCCATGAAGTCCCAAGGTCTCTGCATCGACTTCAACAGAGAGAACGTTGGAGTTGAGACCCTAACAGGCAGAAAATGAGATTTCAGCCTGTCGCAGTCTGACCCTTAGAGTGTGAGGACAGAGGAACACTTCTACACAGTAATTACAGACACACACACGTGTGAGGGCTGTGGATAATTGATCAGCTCTTTTCCATTCAGAGAATCAGTTCAGGATTTGGCAACACCTTCTACACAAATATTACAAGACATGGTTGAGTCAACTCTTTGGGTTAACAAGACATTTTTTCAAACTTAGGTCATTCAATTTGTTATTTTTGCCTTTCTGTTAGGGGTGAAACAAAATTTTCAACATTTTCACAAAAGTACAAATGTACTCTTTGTCCCCGCCCCCAATAGTGTATAAAACATGTTGCCTTTCATGAAACCAGTTTTATTATAACAAAAGCTGAGACACAACACTCATGTGCTTACATGGATATTGTAGAAACGCACCAATGCTAGCAGTAAAACTAGTGGATTTGCGCTCATATGAATCCACTTTTTGTTAATGATACACGAGTTTGCCCTAAAACAGGAAGTGCTTTCCCCCTTATACAAACCAGGAACAACCTCTGACTTGTGGTGTCAGTTTACAACCGATAACAGAGACTTTAACGTAAACACCAAAACAAAAAACAAAAAAACAGGACATTAACAAGAACAACCCATTTCCACACTCAGAGACATTTTAAACAGTCAGAAACACTGCACACATAATTGCCACAAGACTGCCCAGCATCCTTTGCTGTTCACACAGTGTCTCAGGGATGCTACAATATTGCACTAATGTCATATTATAGACATTCCACATTTGTACATCTCAATTTTTTAAAAATATAATCATAATAATAATAATAAAGTGCTATGTGTTGTCATCATTGTATGTTTCCATACAAAGATGAAATTAGTTCTCTGCATTTAACTCATCGCACCTGGGATACA